TGTATGTGGTGGAGGCACACACAAACATCTCAGGATGGAATGCGGAGTTTCGGGGCAGCCATAATGAGATGACATGACATATAATGAGGTGTGCTGTGTGTCCGGGTGGCTGCAGTTTGATGGCAGCGGCGACTAATTGCGCAGATGCCAGCGATTCGAATTCAATTATTCAGGGAATTCCATTAATTCCGAATTAGCTGAACGTGCTAGGAGGGGACTGATCCTGCCTCTGAAAGTATGCCATACTTTTCATAAATACTGAGAACACTCACACACACACACACAGATTATGACCAAAAGCCCAAAGAGCCACAGGCAGAGCCACAGCCAACAATAAGCAACAAAAATCCCCTCTCTGTGGCCAGGACAACGTTTAAACTTTGTTTTATGCAAGTTTTTATTGTTTAATAGCTCGGTGGCTGGCGCAGGGGCGCTGTAATGCTCAAATCGAAGATGTCGTCCTGCCAGGTGGATGACAAGGCGGCTTACCGCCAAATGACCGCAGCAGGCTCAAGGGGTCCTGGCTGGGGATCGGGGGCGAGGTCCGCCCCGCAGATTGCAAATTGCAATGTGTGCAGGTTCACACAGAAAGCTCTTGTCCTGCCCCGATTTTCCCTTGCCCACCTTTCCTCCCACCGGATATAAAGTCAGGGCCCACGACAGCGGCCATGTTGGTCGTATTTAAAGTCTGACCATGTGTTCCGAGTGCACACAATTTGGGTTAAAATAGTAGCTCAGCACTCTATTTATTCGAGAGGTTCTTCAAGGGGTTAACAGAAGTTACTCAGTTAAGATTTTCACCTATCAACGTAGGCTGTGGATGAAGAATTGATATATTAACCTATAGTATTGCAGATAGTTTCCCATTTTACCAGGTAATTCAAGAACTTTTGCATTCAGCTAGTAATTTACGGCCACTGTGTTCAGTGCTGCTGCTGTGACCGCAGCTGTAGGTGGGATTGGGTGGCTTCTGGGTGCGGGTGTTGAGTGGCTGGTCAATTCCTGAAACTGGACGCGGCGAAAGAGCAAGGGGGCGGGTGGCACTCCCCTCGGGCCGGTGGCATGTGCATTTTTTATGCAGCCACATATCCACAGCTGTGGGGCAGGCTCGGTTTATTCTTTTTTTCGTTGCAACAGCAGCAGCACCACACCCACCGCCCACCATCTACCGTCTGCCATCTACCAGTCACCATCAGGTGTCGGAGCATGCAGAATTTTGTGGCTTTTGATTGGCTTTTTCGGGCGTCGGGAAAAGTTATAAATGGAGTTTAGAGCGAGGAGTTGTCTGCGGTGGTCAGCTCATAAATACGTCCAGTGCGGTCGGTCCCTGCATTATGGATCAAATCCTCGAAGTAATTTCAGCAGGAAGGTAGGAGGGGAGGGGGGAGCAGATGAGGCGGGGTCCCAACATTATTTGCTCACGAACTGCGGCAGTGCAATGGTGGAACACGGCAAATGTAAATAAAGTCGCTGGGAATACAATGTGGGAATGTGTGCCAGGCCACAAGATGGCATGGCAGAGAGGGGCCGCTGAAGGGGGGAAAAGGGAGTTCCCGAGAACTAAGGGGTTTCCCCACAGCAGTAAAAAGCAGCAGCGCCAACGGCAAATAAAAGCGTGCAAATAAAACTAAAGCAAGCAGCGGCAACTCGCGTTATTTGCTAAATTTTGCATACAAAACAAAGTGAAACCGAAATGGGTGGGAAGTCGCTGGCGAAGCCATAAACAAAAGCAAGTTGGAGTTAAGTTTTCAGACTAACAGATGCCTTGTAATGCTTCTGAATTAAATATTTTATTTTTAAGTGTAAATCTAGAACAGAAATCAGCTAAAAAGTTTGGGCAAAACTTCGGAGGAATCATCGAAAACAGACCGATGCCAGTTTATGCGCATTTTGCAGCATACTTTGCGGCTGATACCCGGGCAAGATCTCTCGTTACCCAGCAGCCCAGCAAGCCACAGTGCTTGGCAAATAAAATAGTGTCTGGTGGAAAAACAAGGGGAACAATAAAAATTTACAACCAGCCAGAAAGCAGGCAAAGTAAGCAGTTACCAACCCGAAAAAACCCCGAAAGACAAAGGCGAACAGCACAGGGGGAACTCAATAAATTGTCATGCAGTAAAATGTAGTCATGGAGGAGTCGCGGAGGAAGACGGAAGGAAAGGAACCACGCGCGACTTTGTTTCAGGCGATGAGAAATGGCCAGGGGATTTTGCCAGGGAGAAGGGAGCAGGGAGCAGGGAGCAGGGAGCAGGGCCCGTCCGTGGCTACAAACTGGCAAGGGTTCCGCGACGGGGCACGTAAAATGCCAAGAAAGTAGCAGATTGCAAGTGGCATGCAGATACATGCTTATGCCACATCCTGACCGAAAATCACATGTTCTGCTGTAGCGGGAAGGATGTGATTTAAGTTGCAGTGCAACAGCGAACAAGGACTACGCTATATGTAGCTGCAACAAATGAGGCGGTCCTGCCTGAAGAGCCATATGCCATGTGACATTTGGGCCTTTCCACTGGAGGCCTGCTGAATTTTTCATGCCCTTCGCGCGGCATAAACTCACCTCAGCCACTGTTCCTGCCACTTGGGACTGTAAATTAAGGCGAATTCAGGTTTATTGGCTCTTGCCGTGGGGAGTACTAGAATAAGCTTATCTTAGCAAGGAACTTTTAGCCATATTAAATCTCTTTTAGTTTGATTACTTACCGATAATTGCCACACATATTTATATGGCCAAATGGACAGCATTCGAGAGTCAACCTCACACACGTGTCCCCTTAATTTCTGTGGCAAGTGTCGTTGTTATTGCGGCTTCATTTGGCTTTCAGGTAAATGGGCTCTTAGCATGGCTCTACCTTTCGAGTGCATTAATCCTTTTTTATAGGCGGCGAGGAAATTGGCGCAAATTAAGTATACGTAGTGTGGACTTGGTCAGAGGCCATTTCTTGGCCGGCGTTTACTTTGGCCAAATTGCATTAAAGTTGCATAACGTTGCACACGGTTTTAATATTTAATTTGGCAAAAAGCTTTCCCAACACATTCGCATTCGCAGGATATGTCTCGCTACTCCTTTCCGACCTTCTGTCTATCTGGCTGCCTGTGTTTTTCGTCCTTTTATTTGGTGTCCTGCACTTAGAGCTGCCCGGGCGATAACGCCGCTGACATCCACGCTTAATAATATCCCTTTTCGCGCTGGAAAAACAAAAGCGCAGCCTTGTCTCTGTGATTTTTCCTGCGAGCGCTGGCAGGGCTGCGGGGACTGCGAGGACTGCGAAGGGAAAAAATAAAAGAAAAGCGCAGCTCGCAAATGGAGATAAAAATTTGCGATGGCAAAGCCAAAGGAAGCGACAAAAAAATAAAGCTAGAAAAAACAACAGCAGTGCAGGCGGCAAAGTGCAGCGAAAGTATTTACAAAGCGTTATCACGCTGCGACCCCTGTCACCTCCCCCGCCACAGCACCGCCCACGCCCCTTTGAACTTTGCACCCACTTTGAGGGCACCCCCACCGCCCTTGCGCCACCCACTCAACACGTTCGCTTGTTTATTTTCGCCTCCGGCGTTCGCTTCTCTAATTTCTGATGCGCTGCAGTTTTATATAGTTAAATAAAAAGGCGCTTAAGCAGGCGATAGGGTGTAATCGTGGCCCGAGAATGGATTTCAGATGTGGCCGGCGGGGAAATTGGCGGAAGAAGATATAGTGGAAATGAAAGCTGCGAGGGAAGTGCCAAATTAAATGCGCATTCATCTCGCCCAGGAATAATGCAATGAAAATCCTATTGCAAAAAACACTCAAAGTGGGCAAATGTTGCCTTTAATTCAGGTCAGCATGGCTTTAAAGTCTGCAGTTTAAATAAATAATACTTTCGATTTGTTTCTGAGATTAATCTTTATCAAACTTAACTCACTTTTCAGCAAGAACGAACCTCATTCTTAGTAAAAACGTATCCAGAACTTGAGCTCCGTTCACAATCTCATAAATCATGCATTCAGCAGCGTATATAGGTATGCCAAACGTAACTTAAAGACAAGCGAATATCGATTTATCCATTATATAAAGCCATTTCTAGAGCAGTTTTAATTGCTTCTCCTGTCCATCAGTTCCAGCGAATCGAGTGGATCCTTAGGAATCCTTCGCTGTGGGAACGAACGCTCCCTGCCTTATCCCTCCACTCTGCGCTCCTCCAAATTCAGCAGCTCATCTCCTATTCCATTTGCCAGAGCTTTACGAGCTGCTGCTCAAATTTAAAGCCCATCAAGGGAGATGGGATGGCTGTCTTGTCGGAATAGTTTCGCATTTTATAACTCACTTAAAGGCGCCGCCAGGCAGCGGGCCAATTAAAATGGGCAGACGAGCAGCTGATTAACCTTGCCAGCTGCCGCAACCCCTGCCACACCCACTGCCACGCCTGCTCCTCCACTCCCTTTTCCACTTTCTCACATATATATGCACCATATTTAAAGTGAAGCCCAAGTGACCGTCGCCAGGTCACGTTGTCGTCGTCGTCGGCGTCGTCGTCTTTTGCAATGGTGATTGTGCGAGTGCAGCAATGACGTCAGCACACCTACACTGAGAGAAAGCGGGGATGGGGCGAAGGCCTGCCACGCCCCTGCCCACTAGTGGGCGGACCAACTGAGTTGCCACGGTAATTGTGTGCGCTGCTCCACGCTTCGGTTGGCAATATTGTTATGACCAAAAAACCAGGTCACAAAGGATCCCCCTCGCCCGGCCCCCGACGCCACTGTCTTGGCCTCAGCTTTCGGCGTGAACGCGCGCATATTTTATTTGATTTATTTATACAAAAAAAAAAATATATAAAAACGAATAATAAAATAGGAAAAGACGTCATAATTTAGTAAAATGCTTAGCAAAGTAGGCGGTGGAGAGTGGGAGAAGGGAGCGAAATTCTGGAGGCGAAAATCCCTGCTGGCAGTTGGGGATTTCTCAGCTTGAACTCTTGCGCTATTTTGCATTTAATATTTATGCCACTTTTCCCTCTGTTTTGCAGGCATGCATCGGGCTCTCCAGTTAGCCAGCCTCCGCCCAGCTCAGCTGCTCAACTTGTCGACTTTCGGCCCAGACCGCTGACCAGGCCAGGACCTGGCAGGATCCTAGGATCCAGGACGAAACAGAACAGAACGGGACACGGCCAGTCCTCAGCCATGGCTGCTGAATAATTAATGCAGTTTCGGTAAGTGCATTTGAGAAATACGTTCCCTTTTTGCAGTTCTCAGTTTTCAGTTTTCAGTTCTCAGTCCTAAGTTTGCCTTAGTTCAGTTTCAGCAGGTCAAAATGCAGGGCATCTCATTTAAATGGGCACTGAGGAACTGGGTTTCTATTAAATACCTATAAAATACATTACGATTAAGTTAAATACCATATATAATGTTAGAAATATTAATAATAATAACCATTTACAGATTAAACAGATAACTTTTCTCATAAAGTGAGTAAATAATAGTCCCCAGAAGTTCTCATACAGTTCATTTTCGCAGTGCAGGCTAAGGAATCCCCTCGAATCCTCCTCTTGCCAAACTAAGCTTGACAAATGAAGTGTTCACTGCTCATAGCCTTCGAGGGGGCGTGGCCCATTGTCGGTCGGGAGCAGGCTCATGCATAAACCAATATGCGACATAGCTCCGCTTCTTCACTTCACTTCGGTTTAGTTCAGTTCAGTTGAGTTGAGTTCGCCTCGCGCCTCGCTTTTTCTTTGGCTGCGTTCACGCGCCGGAAACGGAAATTGTCCACCGACAATGGCAACAAAATGGCAGCGGCCAAAAAAGAAGGGCCACCCGCAAGCCAATGGCAAGTGACTGGGTGAGGGGGTGAGGGGGTGGTGCGGTCAGGCGGCGGTGTCCACTATTTTCACACATTTGTAGAGCTCATGAGGCGGGGGACCACATAAGAGAGGGTATATTTTTTGGGTCACTCTCGAACTGAGGTTTCAATGGTCTTTAGAGGCTGGTAATGACTGGTGGAGGGTCTGGTTTCGGGGCTTCCCCTTTGGCTTACCATGTTTAATTCGAGGGATAAAATAGAAAAGGACTTGACAGTTTTTGATAATAATTTCAAAATATTTTTATTAATTTAAATTTAATCATGGAGATCTTTTTGTATATTAACCCAAATTGCTGGCTCTTTGTTCCCTTCTTTACGCAGCTCCCTCAGATTATCTCGTGTTATCCTCTCCTTTGAGGAATACCTTACCAATTTTGCGTTTTCCTACCTTCTTCTTTCCCGACAAGGATCCCAGAGTATCGCCCAGTTCGTCATCCACTCCGCTCTTCCCTGTCGCTTTGCCGCTCAGATCTGCGTTATTTATGCCCCTGATGCTGTTGCTGGGTTTATCTTAATGCTGTCCTGATACAACATTTTCATCGTTGTCGTCGCTCATCGCAGTTGTTGTTGTCTTTGCGTGCTTATTGCCATTCCTGCTACTGTGTGTGTGTGTGTGAGTGCACTGAGAGAAATTCGTTGAAGAGAAACAATTATGCTTAGGCTGGAAGCTTCTTACTGAAAACGCTTAAAAGTATGCTAAGTTTAATTGTCATTCAAGGATGTATTGTTCTTCACATTTTGAAATGGAAATGGTTTATTATAGTCCTCTTTTTTCTCCCTGTGCTTGTGCACTGCTTATCCTTATCCACAACATCGTCTTGTCCTTCCGCTCCCTCCCCTCTCGCCTGCCTTTGCCGTGCTGTCCGTCGTTTGTTTTGTCATTCAATTCAATGAGGCTAATGTCCGCTAAGGCCCCTGCCCCTGGCCCGCCCCAATGGTGGCTCTTCTGCGTCCATTGCTTCATGCTGTTGTTGAAGTGCCATTAAGTTTAGTTGTCACTTAGCCTCTTTGCTTTTATATGCCGTTCTCCTTCTCCGTCTCCGTCTCTGTCTTCGTCTTCGTCTTCGTCTTCGTCCTGCGTCCCGTGTCCTGTGTCCTGTCTCCTGTCCGTTTGTCGCTTGTCGTCTGCCGACCGTTGTTGTTATCCTTTTGGCTTGAACGTCTTAAGCGCCTAATGCCAGGGCCATAAAAAGTCCAACTAATGCTTTAAAGTGTGCCACACACACACATACACAGCGATAGAAAGAGATGGTCGGACGAGTAGATGTAGCTACACGGAGAAAAGTGTTCTTAAAAATGTGTCATAGAATTTGATTTCGTAGTCATAGATTTTGATATTGCGACTATACAGATTCAGCTAAGTTCTTTAAGATAGTTTAAGGTCAAAAATAAGATATTAATGTAGGTAAAACTCACTAAACTTCTTCGAAAGAGAGTTAATACATAAAGCCCAGTAGTGCTTCAGCTTGACTTGTTTTCGCGGTGCAGCAATTTGAGCATTTGACTGCAGGACAGCTAAAAATGGCAACTCCTGCTCCGCTTCAGTGCGGTCCGGCTCTGTTCGGTTCGCAGGACCTCTCTTATCTGGCCGGCTTTATCGATCGTTTTGCGTGTTGTCTTTTGGCTGTTTGATTTTCGGCTTTAAGCGAGTCCATCCTTCCTTTTGCCACTTGAGTCCTTGTTTTTATTTTGTTTTTATTTGCTTCGTTCTCGCTTGCCGGCCTGAAAATTGCGTGTTAATTTTCACACAAAAAGGGAGACAGTCGCATTTTCCACGTTCTGCGAACTCTGTTTGTGCTTTGCGGTTTTCCAGACGGCTTTCGCTTACATATTTGCATTTTTATTGTCCCCTGAGCTTCATTAGCCGCTGCATTTTGTATCCTTCTGCGTATCCTGCGGCGTATTGTGGCCAAAAGTTCATCTAAATTAAGTGCAAGCCATTTTCAATTAACTTTCGACGAATTCAACTTGCCCGAAAACTTGCAGCCAAAAATGCAAAAACTTTTGCAGCAACTTTTCCGGCACTTTTCGTTTTTGTTGCCGTTGCCGATGAATTTTCATTACGCTGCATATTTGTTCTCCTTGCCAGTTTTTCTCCTTTTTTCTTGTTATTGTTGTTGTTTTTGTTGTTGTTTTTGCCTTTTTTGTTTGCATGTAAACAAGCCGCGCCAATTTGTTGCCCTCTAACAAAAGCAGGGAGAAAAATTTCGACTTCAAAACTTGTCAAATTCTGCAGAACAGAAACAACAAAACCGATCCTGAGTGGCAGGACATGAGGGGCGGAATAATTTCGAGGGCAAGTGGAATACATTTTGCCCTTTAATGGTAGGAAGAAGTGCATTAAAAATGCAGATACAATGCCCCGAAAAATGCCCGACAGCCCGAAAGGGGGCTGGAGCAGTGGCTCTGAGGGCGTTTCTCTGTGTGCTTGTGCAAATTTCAAGTTGTCAATTTATGATTATGGCACCTCATGAAGCGGGCCAAAATGTAAATTATACGCCAACCGCGCAGCGAAATGAGAACTCAAGCGCGTAACAACTGGCCAAATTGCATGTGGAAGAGCGGAGAGAGCCCCGCAGAAGCGTGTTAGTGGCTTTAAACTTGGCGAGTCACATTTAACGCTTTTTAACGCCAAAGCGACTGCACTCACTCAATCTCAATCTCAATACAGTGTGGAGAGCGGAGTCGTTGTTATGTAAATGAGAATCGCGATTTGCCCGTCTGCCACCCCTAGCCATTTCAGTCTATCGACAGGTAGCGCAGGTGCAATCAAATATTACGTATACGCCGCGCTGTGCACAATAGTTAGCAATAAAGCTGGCAAGGCAGTGGCAGTGGAGGCAGTGGAGTAGGCAAGGCAGCACAGTGGCAGTGGCTTGGCTAGCAAACTGTCAATTTGGCCACCGCTGCTGCCGTTATTGCTCCTTACATTTACCTTATAACCACGTTAAGGGGGACGAGAATATTGAATTACTCGAAATGTGTGGAAAATGAGTGGAAAGAAATGGCACAACAAGGGCCAGTGGGGGGACATCATTGAAAGTTGTGGAAACTTGAGCTTTAAGCTGCTATCATCGAAGCGAGGTATTTGTATCTCTTAAGGATAATAGGCACCATTTTCGTCATTTAAGAAGATATTTTACTATGCTTTAAAGGATCTTCTGCAGAAAATTGTCAGCAGAGCGAGTTCAATCCCACTTTCCGGGAAATAGTTGCTGTGTTTTGGTAGGCACTCGCTGCCGTGGGAAGAGCTCAGCATTGCCCATGTGAGGGGCATAAAATTTGATTGTGATTGAAAGGTGTAGCCTACTTTCGGGCACATATAAAATGCATGTAATCAAGCGAAATGGCAGCGGGCCAAATGAGATCGTCGGCAGGGGCGGGCTAACAGGGCATCATTTGCATTTGCATTTGCATTGGCAAACAACGCCCCTCGGACAATAATTGAAATTTGATTTGATTAGTTTCGATACCGCGGCTGTTGTTGAGGCTGCCGCCGCTGTAATTGCCGTCGCGTCCGCCATTTCGTTAAATGAAAATGTCAAATTAATTTAATTGTATTTTTGTGCTGCCGCGCTTAACTCGGCCGCCTTTGCAAATCCCTTTATAATTAAGTCGGAAAAGAGAGGCCGTGGCAGCGGAGGGCGAGGGCGTAGGCGGAGGCGGAGGCGGAAAGAAAGTCATTTAACAATATGAAAAGCAGCTCTCTCTCACCATAATTGAACTATTTGGTTTTCATAATTGAAATTTTCCCCAGACAATTCAATAATAATTATACGGAGATGCTCTGTCTGTCTCCTGCGGCACGTGAAAAATTTAATTAAGTAACTTATTGCTATTATTTGCATTCCTTTCTGCGGCCAAGATAATTCGCAGCATTTTTTGTCCTTCGTTTTTGCCGAACTCGAGCCTTTGTCCTCGCCGTAATTAAATAAATATTAAATGTTTGGCGAGCGAAAACGGCAAAAACTATAGTTTAATATATTCCCCCTCCATTTCGATATTATTGCCCAGATATTTGCGCACATTCGAGCGCTTTAATGGGGCCATATTGATAAGCAGAGGAGGGGGGCATGGGGAACCCGAATGGTAAATGATGAAAAATGCTCTGCATTTTCCGCACCTTTTTGTGTGGCCAAGCGGAATAAAAAGGAGCAAAGGAAAGATCCAAGAAATAAAGAAGCCAACGCACAAATATTGGCTCGCTATTTTTTCGAATGAATTATGACTGCGCCGAGGGTCGTTGAGTGGGTGGAAAAGCGGGTGGAAGCCGGGCTGGGGTGAGAGCAACTCAGTGGCGCGGAGTGCCGGAAAAAGAAATTTTCAAGAGGGTCGACGATTGGCCGAGTGGCC